TCCCTGATCTAAGTTAACGATGTGGCTGGCGATCTTTCATCCGTCGGCGTTAATTACCCTGCACAAGAAAAATTGTGCTGGGTAACTAGAATTCCTGGGTCCTTCACCTCTTTTAGCTGTGAGACTAACCTGGGGTTCTCGGGATTCAGGTGGCGCTTCACCGAAATCCGTGCGCTCGTTAAGTGACTGCACTTATCTGGGTTTATTGGGAGCTCCTATTCAGTCGCCCATTTGTATATCCTATTTAGGTCCTCATGCATTTCGTTACCTTCCGGTCTATTTACTAATTTGAGATCGTCTGCAAAGATGAACGCCGAAGATGCAAGATCGCCAGCCACATCGTTAACTTAGATCAGGGACAGAAGCGGCACCAGAACTGAACTCTGTGGCACCCCACTGGAGACGCCTGATTGCCCAGATCTCTCTCCATCCACCTTAACGTAAAAGGATCGGTTACTTGAATAGGCAATAGTCCATTGTAGCATTCCCTCCTTTATTTTAAGCGCTCTCATTTCAGCTAGAAGGTAGCGGTGGTTAATAGGCTCGAAGGCCTTCTGGAAATCCATGTAACCCACCTCAACTGTCTCACCCCGATCAATCCTGCCTGTGACTTCATCAAGGAAGGACAAAAGATTTGTGAGACAGGACCCCCTTTTCGTCCATCCATGCTGACACAGCAAGTAAATCATGCTCTGCCTCATGGGAGCTTAGCCGACCCCGAAGTACATTCTTCCCGACCTTGAATGGTAGGGAAAGAAAACTTACTGGGCGGTAGTTTGAGGCCTCTTCCTTGGTATCTCCATTGTGGATCGGGATGACTTCGGCCTGTTTCTAGTCTGATGGTAGCGTTGCTGTAGTGATCGATCTGTTGAAAAGCCGGGCTAACGGTTCAGCAACTATCCCTGCAAAGGGTTTCAATATTTCTGGATGTATACCGTCTGGACCGGCAGACTTCCCGGTACTTAGTGCGCTCAGGATTTTCTCTACCTCCAGTCTGGTGATAGGCGGGTTTGCCATCTGTGGTACATCGGCCGGTACTAGGGTGAGATCTCTATACCCCTATCTCTCAGGTCAACCCTCTCAAAGGCTTCCCGGAGAGCCTCGGGCCCTAAGGTATTAGAGGAACCTTGAGTGGCTCTTTGAGTTTCTATAGCTGTTCCAGGCTCTGCGTTTCCTGGATTATGCTCTCTTAGCCCGGCTTTTCCACCGCGGTTCAATACCTTGTCTCTTAATCCGGCGGAGTTGTGCAAAATGTTCGGTGAGCGGTAGTACATTTACTTTGAAGGTCCCCATTCCTCTTCTATCATCTCGTGTTCCTCTTGCCACTCGCGGTTTGAGGCTGCCACCACTAGGGCCTCACAGTCGATACGTCTAAACACTCGACGCATCTTGTGGGGCGCTTTGGGCACGTTGAGTACGTATCGGAAGTGGATCACCTCGTGGTCACTCCTCCCCAGCGGTGGCTCAACCGTGAATTGCTCCACCTCATACGGGTATCGTGCGAACACGAAATCCAGCAGTCCTGGTTCCTGCCCCGACTTCCATCTTGTGGGTTGGCCGAAATGTTGTACCAGAAAACCCTTCTGTACCCAGTCAAGCAGTCGGTGCCCGAAGGTGTTCCTGGGTGCCCAGGCTTGCGCCCATTGCACCTCTGAGACGTTTAGGTCCCCCAATAGCAGCATTGAAACGTTTGAGGCGGTCGGGCCGACAAAGTTTTGGAAGAGCTGTTCGTCCTCATGCCTATCCGCTGAGAGGCTTGTATATACACAGATTAACTTCACTTTCTCTGAAGCCATCTCGACGGAGCAAGTGACCACCTGAATGTTGGGCGTTGCCAGCGTGCCACCTTTTCTTTGTTCTATGTGCCAGGCCACTAGGCTGTGTACTCCAGCCCCACGTTTGCCATCGTCTCTGTCAGCTCTATCAGCTCGGTAGATACAGGTCAGGTTAGATCAGGTTGTACCGCACTGGTAGTGGCCACTGCAAAATCGAGCGTCCACAATTCCTTCAATGGTTTGCCCTTGAGTGTGTAGGTTTTATTCATGCGATAGTTGCGCAACGGCATTTTTCTCTTCTTGCCTCTTGCTTATCTCTACCTTCTCTGATAGATGTATTCAAGCTGGACGTGATCATGAAATCACGGATCAGTAGCACCTTCACCTTTCGCTTGTGAGTAGCATCAGGACAGGTTCAGTTTTCAAGCAGTCTTGTTTAACTGAGAACTATGAGGACATGGTTATATAACCATTGCAAACTTATCAGAACCGTCAAGGTTCACAGAAAAGAAGACAAATACAGAACCGGGAATATTGTGCGCTAGCCTAAAACCCGAGTACTACTTCAAAACTTCAAGACATATCAAGTAGTGACCTAACCTAGGTCACGTTTGAAGTCTTAAATTTGTACTCGGGTTCAAGGCTCGTGCTCATTATTCTCGGTTCGATATTTGTCTTCATTTTCCGCACGAGCTGCAAGAAATATTAATGGAAACGAGATCTGGCTCCAATATGATACCGCTGGGTCAATGGGGCATGCATCAGGGAAAAGTTAGAGAAGGAAAGATGGGATGTGAGAGGAGGAAGTTCAAGGACATGCAGGACAAGGTGAGAGTGCAATCCACAAGATCGAGGCCAACCATAAGATGGAGGCCTTTAAGCTTTTCCTTCTAAAAAAAAGACCCTTTTTCTCTACCGGGCACAATCAGATGCATCGTAGAGATTTAGCACTTATCGCCATCATTTGGCGATACCGATCTTCTAGAGAAAGTTTCTTCACTAAATATAACAAATTTAACACTTCAAGAATTAAGTTTTCCTTTAACTATTATCGTGCTTTTAATGAACTCGAAAAGACCGCACGGACACAGTTCCCC